AGAACCGTGTTAGAAAACAAGCTGCCATCCCTAGTCATTAGGAACACAGGACACTGCCTCTTGCTATCTAGCTCACTCCTGTTTATACTGGCGGACAGAGGCTCACTAGCCTCTCAAGAAGGAGTCTTTCCCTGCTCTACCTGGAGATGCTGAGGATTGAACCTGGGACTTTTTGTATGCAAAAGGAAGCATGTTGTGCCACTGAGCTACAGCTACAGCCCTTTTCTAAATGAAGCGGTATTAAATGAGGGCAGATAGGGACTCCTCCCTGATCAATTAAACCATGAGCTTACAGAAAACAAATGCACAAAGAGAACCCACCAAGTCTCTCCAGTGTAGGGTTATGGAAACTGTGGTCCTCTAGAGACTGATGGACTCCAACTACCATCAGTCCCAGCCAGCATGGCTAATTGTGACTGGTGATGAGAGTTGTAATTCAGCAACATTTGGAAGGCTACAGGTTCATTCTCTCTTTCTTTCTTTCTCTCTCTCTCTGCTTCAAAGGAACACAGTACTCAGACCTGCCCCATTTAACAACCTGCCTATAGCAATGAGGTCTCCCCCACCCATTGCCCCAGAGATTTCCTTTACATCAAGAAAGTGTTTCTAGTTTTTGTATGCGACAAGTGTATGATAAGAAGCAAAGGCACACAATGTGAAATCTAAGCCTTGCCATAGCTACTGAAAACGTCATGTGTTACATGTAACGGAATATAAAAATGTCAGCATGAGTTTGCAGACGGCCTAAACCCAGAGCTCCGAGAATCCCGATGCCTAAATATGATCTGGAATCAATGGAATACCAAGAAGTCTGGCCCAGCTAATCTCAGCTTGCTAAACCTTCAAGCTAAGCAGGCAACATAGTTTGCATCATTAGAGGATCTTTTCTTCAACTTTTGGGGTCTGCATTTGCCCCAACCCAAAATTAAACCTGAGGGACAGGAATGCCTGGGATGAAAGAACAGAAAGGGGATGAAAGGAGCAGCTAAGTTGCCTGCATTACAGATTCAGATCTATCTTTCAAGTGCTTTTGCTATTCCTGAGGGGCAGGAAGGTGAAATGAAAGTGAGACTCTGCCTGGCTGTGGATGAAAGAGAATGTCTGATTTCAAGGCATCTCAATCTACCTGCTCTGCCCTTTAAGCTTCTAGGTCAGAGGGATGCTGTGTGGAGGTGAAAGTGATAAACCTGCAGCTTGGGGGGGGGTGTAGAGGTGTAGGTAAGGATGCATTGCTCTGGGTAGCAGCACATAATAAGCCATTGATTATTAGCAGGTGGAATTGATGCATTGACAAGGAGCAGACAGAGAGCCACTCTACGGTCTAAGTTATTCAGAACAAGGGGAGAGAGTGAGTCAATGTACACATTATGAAGGACAGGGCAGTAGAATTCAGGACTATACTGCTTCAAAATGCAGGTGCTGGATGGAGCAGGGAGTTGCTGCTTCCTCATGTAGAGTAAAGGCTCTGTGGTGGTTTGCACTCAGGAATGGTGGGGGTCTAAAGTGGTTCTAAACCAAGCATGAGGGGCCCTTTTCAGCCCAAGGGATGCACTCCCTTCTAGACAACCTTATAGGGGAACCACATGCCAGTTGGGGGAAGGGTCAGAGGCAAAAGTGGGCAGAGCAACAAATGTGAATGTTACCTTCTGTACAGTCGTCAGGAGCTATACCCACAATTGTGAGCTTGTGATTCCACATCCACATGACAAAACAGGGCCTCAAATGTGGAACATTATCCAGAGACTTTTCTGGTTGTGAAACTACTTTTGAACGCCACCCTACATGCTTTGGAGTAAAAAAATAATAATAGTTGGGAGCTATTGCTAGAGAAGAGTCTGAAACTGCTGAGTGTGCAGGTGTATTTCTTGTTTAAGACTTTAAAGCAGATCAAAGTTTTGCAGTGCCCGAAATGAGCAATGATTTGTCTCAGATGAACCAATCATGGAGGATTGTCCTTGGGAACAAAGGGCTCGTCCACACTCCTGCTTGTCCCATGCCTAGAAAGCACAGGTCTTGAGTGCTAAATCAGAGCAAGCATCAATCCGGAGAAACCCCAAACTGCCATTTGCTCCAATTGAGCACTAAAGAGTTGTTTTCCCTGGGGAAAAGCAGCCAGGCAAAAGAAATGTGGATGAGCTGAAACTCTGGGCAAATAGCTTTGTCCAGAGTTACCAATGGACCACACAAAAAGGCCTAGCCAGTTTCCTTCTCTGCCTTTAACAGAGCTTAATTGGAAGAAATCGGCAGGTGAGGCATTTCATGGTATAGACGTATGCATTATTTCAAGCTACTGTAAAGACAATGGAGCAGTCGGTGATATATTTTTTTTCCAATTCTCACTCTGTTGCCTGCAGAACTGAATGTGGTGTTCCTTGCCAAACATCTCTAATTTCTGGATGTGGAGCCAATTAGGTATACCTGACCCAATTGCGTCTGACAGTTAAGACTCCTCATTAGCAGAATCTGAAGAAGCTGGTGGATGTTGGAGCTGGAAGACCACAGTCTCATTTGCCCATCTGAGTGATGGTGATTGATATCACAGCTGTGTTGGCTTGTTTGCATCGCAAAAGGACAGACTCCTGGTTGCATAGCCCTGATGCCGAGTGAAGGAGTGTTAATGTGGCATGCGGCGTCCTCAAATCTTAGAAGAGAAAGGCAGCCTATTAAAGGGAACTTACACAGCTCGGAGTCCTTTTCATTAACAGGCCGATTAGATTTTCCATAGCCCTAAATATGAACAGCTGACACTTATGCTTCAAGACCCTGATAGAAGCTGGATCTTGGCAACCAATCAAAATTCATCCTTCACATGCCCCAGGATTAGCCGAGTGAAAGGAACTAGTCTTGTAAAGCTGTCATGTAGAAGGTTACTGTTGATTTAGGGCCACTGAGTCTTGAACCCTTGACCTTGTCTAAGCCCATCCATAACAGTTCCATGGCACCCTCTTGACATCGGAAGGGGGATTCACGCCCATCCCTGGTGGCTTAAGCACATGCACATGTGGTTGAAAGTCAGGAGAGTCGGCTCTCTATTCTTGGCTCAAGCTCGCTCTGTGACCTTGGCACTTTTTCACAAATGATTTTGTGTGAGTCACTTCTAAACTTGCAGGCATTCGTAAAATGGATTTAATAAAAACAAAACTTGGGAGCGGGGGAGGGAAAGTAGTCAGAATGGCTGAATGAACAAGGAACGATGAGACAGATTGAGGTTTTGCAAACTAAAAGGATTCCAAACAAACAAACAAACAAAAAATCCAGCAGTTGTGGATGGAAACAGATGGTTAAAATCAGAACATTGAAGTATTGAAACTTGCTTTTAAAAACAAAATACAACTCATTCAGGAAATAGAGGGATGTTCAAAACTGAGAAAAGTTTGATGGTAGGTGTTTCAGGGAAGCATAGAACTGTAGAGTTAAGAAGGGAACTTTACTGAAGTGCATTGCATTTTGGTATCATTTGGTTCCTCACCCAAAACCAAAAATAACACTTTTCTCCCAGAGAGAGGGGGAGAATGAGTCTGTGGAAGTGCAGCATTAAGGTCAAAAAGTCAGAATTGTTTACACATAGGTGAGTTTCAAAATATGTTCAGCTGGTACATGGACCAATTATATTAGTTTCCATCCCTTGCAGTAGCAATTTTTAGAAGATTGTAAGACCACATGAAGAGGGACGCGGGTGGCGCTGTGGGTAAAAGCCTCAGCACCTAGGACTTGCCGATCGCATGGTCGGCTGTTCGAATCCCCGCGGCGGGGTGCGCTCCCGTCGTTCGGTCCCAGCGCCTGCCAACCTAGCAGTTCGAAAGCACCCCCGGGTGCAAGTAGATAAATAGGGACCGCTTACTGGCGGGAAGGTAAACAGCGTTTCCGTGTGCTGCGCTGGCTTGCCAGATGCAGCTTTGTCACCCTGGCCACAGTGTCTCCGGACAGCGCTGGCCCCCGGCCTCTTGAGTGAGATGGGCGCACAACCCCAGAGTCTGTCAAGACTGGACCGTACGGGCAGGGGTACCTTCACCTTTTTAAGACCACATGAAACTTGGTCTGTTCCACTTTTCATTATCTGTTACTGTGTATGTGTAAATAAACTAGTATAGCAGTGTGGTTCATTGTTGTTACTAGTTCTTTGGGTTTTATTTGTTTCCGGGTGTGGGGAGGGGCATTAATTCTTCCCCCCTCCCCCAAGGTAAAAGAGCAATCCTAACTCCAGACCCACATATTCAAAGGGGGTTAGCGTGAGGCAGATTTGTCCCTCCGCCTAGATTCACTGCGTTCTGGTGGCAGGGGGTGGGGGCTTTGGTATTGCAGAGGCCCCTGCTCTGCAGCACCTCCAGAAATTGTAGCAGAGTGCACACTTGGGTACCAGTGGTACGCATCATAAGGCCAGAAACAATGCTATGGCGGGTGGCAGTAGAGCTAGCAATTGATCTACCCTATCCAATGCAGGCTTATTTCTTAGGGAGGTGCCTAATATTGAAATGTCAGGAACAACTTCCTCCACCCTTCTGCTCTGGTCAGCTGCTCCCCGAAGTAGAAAAATTAAGCAGAAAACCTATTGTGGGGGGGAGGCGGGTGGATGGATGTAAACATTTTTAATGTCATTAGGAAGTAACATTTTGATTGCAAATAAAAGGGATGAGATCATTTTGGAAAGTTTCTCAGCCAACCCTATTTCTAAGTGGGAAATTCCAGAACATTCTCTTCAAGTCATGTTCATTCTTCACCTCCTCCAAAGAGCTCAGAGTGATGTATGTGGTTCTAACCCAGCACTTCATTTTATCCTCACAATCCCATGATGTAGATTTAGCTGATAAAATGATTAGCCTAAGGCCACCAGTGAACTGCGTCTCCCCACTCTGTCAATTGGAGAGGCCTCCTCTGTCCTAGATATTTAAAGCAGTATCATTCTACTTTAAGCAGCCATGGCTTCACACACAAAGCATTCTGGGAACTATAGTGTGTTACGGGTGCTGAGAGTTGTTAGGAGACCCCAATTCCCCTCAGAGACAGCTGCAATTCCCAGAATTCCCTGGGGGGCGAGATTGACTGTTAAACCACTGTAGGAATTGTAAGTCTGTGAGGTAATTTCCAAAGCAAATCAGAATGGGTGCTCAATAAGTACATTGTCTGGGGTTTATTATAATGGCTACATTCAGGTGTGACGCTGGCCATAAACCATAGCTTGCAAACTTTGGCTTTCCAGTCATTGTTTGGGGAAAACAAAGCATGAATGCTGCTTCAGACATGACACTAAACCAGCCGTTCTGTGGTTTGCTTCCTTGCTCCAGGAAGAGAGGTGCAAAACTGGTGATACTTGTGATCATTTGTGTTCTGATAATGCAGTATTTAGTGCACATCCTAATTTTCCTGAGCTATGTTTCTATAGTCAGAGGTGGTACGTCTAAACATGGCCAATGTGAGAATAAGTCTCACATAAATCTGAGTACGTTACCTGAAAGGAAAGTTTCAAAGTCAATCAAGAGAAGGAATTCCTATCCCACATAAGCTTGCAGGCCTCTGGCTGCCTGGTGGAACAAGAGGGTGATATTCATCACTGGACTCTAGTAATTGGGCCTTGAATTTTGTTTTATTGGCTTTTTCTCCAGGCAGAAAGAGCAACTTGGAGCCAAACCCAGCTCTCTCGTCTACCAAGGGAACTGTGAAGCAAAAAGCCTTTATTGCAATTTGATTCCCAAAGTGTGTGTATAAAACAGCGCTCTGCGCACGCACGCACACATACACACACACACACAATTATTATTATTAGGGAGGTGAAAACCTGAAACTGCACGTGTTCTCTCTGGGTCCCTAGTCCTGTGTAATCAATCACAGCTTGGCCCAGTCTCCTCCACCTGTTTCCTTTCCCCAGTTTGCAGTGTCAGAACAGACCCAGGGTATAATGGGGCGGTTGGGGTGGGGGGAGGAAAGCTGTATAGCAAGGCACCCCATTAGTTAGCCTGTTTGTCTGGCCTTCATCAAGACAGTTTCTGAGCCCGCCACAATCTCTTAACCTGTTTCTACAGCTGCTCTAAGAAACTGAATTTATAGCCGGTGGGAAATTCCAATGCGGAAGGAAAAGTGAAATCTCAAATACTCTCTAGGTAAAGAAAATGTCTCGTTTATTATTACTTATTTGTTATTGTCATCAAACACCAAGTTTGGGGTTGCTTGCATACTGAGTGTACTTTGCGGTGGTGGGAGAAAGGAGGGGAGACGAGAGCTAGGGGGATTTTGCTGGCCTGGTCTCTTGATATGGGGCTCGTAGAACAGAATGTGGAATGGATGTCATGCGAGTGCTCTCTTGGGACTCGTAACTGGCATCTGCTAGTCTAACTGCCTGTTCCTAGAGTGGAATAATAAGTATTAAAAGGCTTTTAATCCATTTTATTCTTCGGCTATTATGAGACAGCAGAAGCTCAGGCGGTGCCAATCCTGTTCACCCACCTCTGCAGGCTTTCCCCCCTCTGAAGCTCACTAGCAATGCTTTTCTGGCAGTGGGCCGTGATCCTGGGGTAATCTTAAACTCTCTCTTTGGAAAAAAATTTTTTAATAAATAAATAAAATAAACAAATTTTTTTTTACAAACCTAGAACAGCAGCAACTTCCCAAATGTTTTCAAGTGGGGAAGATTCCACCAAACCCCCCCTGGAGAATGAAACTAAGGCATGGGGATCTAAAGTCCATTGTAAAAATGTCACTTCTGCATAGATTTTGATGATAAATATAACAGCTCAATTGACATTTTACATGCAAATCAAATTGAAATGCTCATGGGATTAAGTACCAGCTCAAGCCAACTGCTTTGAGGTAGATCTTTCCCATGGGAACACTGAAAGCCTCTTGTTCTGAAGTGGCCCCTCCCCACAAAGAACTGGGAGGGACCAGTCTGGGCTTGACAGTGGAAAACTTTCTGCATGGAAAAGTCCTGACGTCCACCTTCCCTCTCCAGGTCAGTGCTTCCTTCCTTTTGATGACATCTGTCTCAGGCAGGGGACGGCATAGCAGGGGTGCCCTGGAGCTCTTGTTTGTGTTGATGACATGTTCCCACCAGTTTGCCACCAGCATGCCCCAGGCTCCGTATCATTCTGGCCATTACTGTCAGTAAGAATGACAATAATTGACTTGTCTAACAGGTAAGAAAACAGCCACCATTATCTGCTCCCAACAAGGAGCCTCTTGTTATATTTTAATCCTTCTCTTTGGAGCGCTGTCTTACTTTGCACAGTCTTGAGGTCTTAGCTCATAGGTAAGAGTAAATGCTTTGCAGGTAAACACATCCAGGTTCAATCCCCAGTATCTTGGAGAGCCACTGTCACCTGGAGTACTGAGCTAGATGACGGGCTAGTGGTCTGGCTCATTAAAAGGTGGCTTCCTATGTTCATGGTCCACTGACTTTAGTCCCTGTATTTGGCATCAGGAACTGACTGCAAATGTTTCAGGCTGGAGTCAGAAAAGTAGGAGGAGCCAAAGACAAGGAGATCAAGCAGGAAGATGTGGAACAGGAAGCAACATTTAGAAAGTCGATAAACATAACATGTATAGCAGAGTGGCAGGACTAGGATGGAAGTAGCACCACCATGTTAATTTAAAATGTGCTTATTCCTGTCCATGACTGTAGTCCAAAAAACAATCAAAATCCCATGATTCTGCAAGTTTTGCGAGGGAAGCCAGTTGTACATTAATTCTTCACTGGAGGAGAGGGAAGTACCATTCACATTGAATGAGGCAGTGGTGCATCATCTCCTCAAGAAGACCTCTCTGGGGGAGGTGATGTCATCCATTCAAGATGGCGCCTTAACTTGGCTCTCTCCACCCACCCCGGGACAAGTTTGGTTCTAAACTGCTTCATTAGTTATCCAGACTCTCAAACTCTAGTAGATTTGGGTGGTGAGTAAGAATCTTACTCTGGATTCTTATTTACTTACCACAACTTTGATTGATCCAAGAAAGAAGACTTCCTTCTAATATGGCCATCTGACCCTCTAAAAGAGACCAAGGCAAGTCTCAAGATGAATACTGAGCCATGGTTCATTTGGTACAGCAACTTTGCACTAACTGAGCACAGTAATGGAATAAAGCAACCAACCTTTCTAAGAGGAAATAGCTAAAGTCTCCTCTACAATGGCAAATCCAGTGACCTCCTTCTTCTTTGGTGATCACTTGTAGCCAAGTAAGATTGTCTTCCATGAACACAGTCTTAACGGAGAGTCTGGAAGTGACTGTGGAGGCCAATTCTGGATCCACACGTCCTTCCACAGTGACGACATAGGTTTCCGGGTGGGAGTTGATCATGGTGAGGGTTTGCCAAACGTGCCTTCCTCTTAGCATGTTTCTCCCTTTCATCCTGAGTTTGAGCATCTTCAAAATCCATGACACCTTTGGTAAAGGCTGTTCTCCAATTTGAGTGCTTGCAGACCAGTGTTTCCCAATTGTCGGTGTTTATACTACATTTTTTTAGATTTCCCTTGAGAGACTCTTTAAACCTCTTTTGTTGACCACCAGCATTATGCTTTCCATTTTCAAGTTCGGAATAGAGTAGTTGCTTTGGAAGATGCTAATCAGGCATCTGAACAACATGAAGTTGCTGTTGAAGAATCATTGCTTTGACAATGGTGAGCTTTGTTCTTCCAGTACACTGGCACAGCTAATGCAGCTATGGATCAAAATTTTAAATAACAAGATGAGATGATTGTTAAAAATAATAAACACTCACAATCTAAATTGAACCTCCACCTTTACTTTAAAGATAGGGAACACCATTTAAATATTAGAGAAAGAGGAATTCCTGAGACTTTTGACAAGGAGAATCTCCCTGTAGCATTTGTCACATGGGTCAATGCTAATCTTCAAGCACAGGAAACACTGAGGGTTCCCCATGCTTTCCATCCCAAATCAAAGCAGGGGGGAAATCCACAAAACATTTGGTTTGCTCATTTTTCTGTAAAAAACCCAGTAACGCAACTTCTTAGAAATGCTGATTCTATCAAATGCGAAGGGAAAGACATTTCAGTTTGTCAAGATCTGTGTCCAAAAATTCTTCAAAGTCAAAGAGACTTTGGTCTATATTTGTCTTTGCTGCAGAAGGCAGGAATATGTTGCAAATTGAGTTTTTCATTTAAAGTTACTATAACGCACAATGGCTAATTCAGAAGCAGCGGATACCCATCCTTAAAACTGGAGAAGGACAGACTACAAGTGATAATAAAGACACTTTACAGCCATTTAAATCTTTTTATAGAACACTGTGTACCACTGAAGGTTTGGACCTAACTGAATCCAACAATATTTAAGTCATATCCCATTGTCCACCTTCACTCCAGGGCACTGAGAATTCTGTAGAATCGTAGAATTGTAGAGCTGGAAATAACCCCGAGGGCCATCTAGTCCAATCTCCTACAATGCAGGAATCTCAACGAGACCATACATGACAGTTGGCCATCCAACCTCTGCTTAAGAAATTCAAGAAGAAATGAAGGGTCTAAAATTCTCCAAGGACTCAGCCACATTGGCTTTATGTGTTGTATACACATTATAACACTGTGACACCAGATGGTGCTGTGGAGTTCCGTTTTTGCCAACCCGATTTCTCATACAGAGTTTACAACGCATTTAACTGAAACGCTTCTTTGATGTGTCTGGATCCAGCACAAGTCTCCAGTCTTGAACAGTTATACAGGCATCTTTTATAAAATGTTCCAATTAGTCCCATTTTTTTACTGATACTGTTTTAGAGATACAGTCAGGTGGTCAGATCCCTAGTACCTGTAAGTTGACCACTTTTGCTGTCATACACAAACTTTTTAAGGACATCTTAAACAATTGTGGCAAACGATTATGACAACAATTGTGGCCAATTTGCTGAGTAAGCAAATGGCTATCTATCTGAACCTAACAACAGCCCAGTAGATTTTAATTTTTTAATACATACTGGCTGGTATTCAACAAATGTTTATTCAGAGTAGACCCACTGAAATTAATGACCATGACTAACTTGTGGCCATTCATTTCAATGGATCTACCCTGAGTAAAAGTTAGCTGAATGCAAGACAACACATGTTTATATTTATTATAAAAACACCTATACCACCCTCCAGTAGTAATTTCCAGAACAGTTTGCATAAAAGGAAAATAAAAAAAACAATTATTATAAAGGTAAACCTGTAAAAATAAACACAAACCAACTAAAAAGGCAGTAGATATTGAGAGCCAGATAAAAAGAATCAGCAGGACTAAAATTAAGCATAATATTATGCATGCATATCTGCCTCCTTCCAAAACTTAGGAAGCCACAAAACTATTTAGGATAGGAAATACCAAAGGCTATTCCCCAAGTGAAATACCGCACAATAGACTAGCAACATAGGACACTACAAAGGCTAATGTTATATTGTGTTTAGGATTGGGGAGACAATCTCCATTTTTTGTATGCCCTGATAAAGCAGACATTAAGATACTAAGACATTTCATCTCATTTTTAATATATATTTTTATTACTTTGTAAATAAAGCAAATCTGGAAAGTCCTGTCAGTTTTTTCAATGGGCAAATAAGACTCTCCCATCTCCTTGATTTTCTCCACCCTCTTCTTGGGTCTCACTCTCTAGCCCTCTCTTGGGAGACCCCGCTATGTTATGTCCATCAACACAGGCCCCAAAGTGTCTTTTCTCTATCCTCCGCAAACAATTTTTATATCGATTCCCAAGCAGAGCTCCTAATCCTTCCATAATAAATCACTTGCCGGCGCTCAGATCCACTTAGGGAGGCAATGTTAGTCTACATGGGAAAGGATTTCTTTGCATTCCCATAAGCCAACTTCAAGGGGTGCCTGAAGGGGGGTTGGTGGCAATTTTACTATACTAAAGGATGCCTCTCTTTAGCATCATGCTTCCTTCAAATTCTCAGTAATCCCAACATAGTCTCACTACTCGAAAAGGATGTTGGAAGTCCCTAAGCTCCAAAAGTTTTTTCCTCTCGGATGATCCATCTATGTATGATTCAATTGTATCCTATCTTTAGCACAATACTTTCACATGTCCTCCATGTACGTGGAATATCCAGTCCATACATTATAAGGAAAGGCAAATGGCCTTTGTTGAAGGAGTTTAAAAATAATAATCATTGGGATCTGTAATTCTGTGCAGGAGGGGGACAGCATTCAGTTTCAGACAAAGTTCTCTGTTCTGTTCATTTGAACTTGAGCAAAGGTAGAGACCTGGATCTTTGTTTTTATTTTGTTTTTAATTATATTCCACCTTTCATACAGAATTTAAGGTAAGTGGCAGTCATTAAAATTTATAACAATATAGATACACAGACCTACTTACATACAATTGTATTACATAACGAGCAGCAGAAGATAAAATCACAGTGAAGAACCACATATTCCATGTGCCTAATGAAACAGCAACAACAGAACCTTAATTTTAATTATTTTTAGCATACTGGCTCTAAATATATACCGTATTTTTCGCACCATAGGACGCACTTTTTCCCTCCTAAAAAGCAAGGGAAAATGTGTGTGCGTCCTATGGAGCGAATGCAGGGGGGAGGCAGGCGGGAAAAGCTCTCAAGAGCCGCACACAAGCTTCGTGCGCTCTTGCGGGCTTTTCTCCAGGAGGGAGAAGGGACTGACTGGCTGTAGCAGTCCCTTCTCCCTCCTGGGGGAAAAGCCCCCAAGAGCGGCGCCCTCTTTAAAGGCTGTGCGGCTCCTGCAGGCTTTTCTACGAGGTGGGGGAATCCACCCACCTCCCAGAAAACCCAGGAGAAGCCGCACCGCCCCTTTAAAGAGCGTGCGGCTTCTGCGGGAGGTGGGGGAAGCTGCAGCAGATTCCCTCCTCCCGGGTTCCCTTTGAGGCGGCAATGTGGGAGGGGAGCAGCTTACACTCCCACTTTCCTCCTTCAAAGCAACTACGGAGGAGGGAAGGAAGAGGACCATGGATCCTCCGCTGCTGGAGGCTTCAGCAGATTCCCCCCTCCGTGATTGCTTTGAAGCAGGAAAGTGGGAGGGGGGCAGCTTACACTCGTGTAAGCAGCTCCTCTCCCACTTTCCTCCTTCAAAGCAACTATGGAGGAGGGAAGGAAGAGGACCATGGATCCTCCGCTGCTGGAGGCTTCAGCAGATTCCCCCCTCCGTGATTGCTTTGAAGCAGGAAAGTGGGAGGGGGGCAGCTTACACTCGTGTAAGCAGCTCCTCTCCCACTTTCCTCCTTCAAAGCAACTACGGAGGAGGGAAGGAAGAGGACCATGGATCCTCCGCTGCTGGAGGCTTCAGCAGATTCCCCCCTCCGTGATTGCTTTGAAGCAGGAAGTGGGAGGGGGGCAGCTTACACTCGTGTAAGCAGCTCCTCTCCCACTTTCCTCCTTCAAAGCAACTACGGAGGAGGAAGGAAGGGGACAATGGATCCTCCACTGCTGAAGGCTTAAGCAGATTCCCCCCCCCAGCTTAAGTGGGGTGGGGGAAGTGTGGCAGGTAGGGGGGTACCTACCTAGACAGTGAAGCCACATGTCTCTCCAATGAAAATTGGGAGTGGGCATTGTGTGAAGTGGCTGTGGATCTCCTGCCGCAGAACTGTAGGACTGTATAGAGTTGGGAGGGCCACCCGAGGGTCATCTAGCCCAGCCCCCTCACAATGTAGGAATCACAGCTAAAGAACGCCAGGCAGATGGTCCCCCAACCGCTGCTTAAAAGCCTCCAGTGGTGGAGACCCCAAACACCTTCCGAGGTCATAGAATTGCAGGGTTGGAAGGGAACCCCAGGAGTCATCTAGTCCAGCCCCGGTGGACAGCATGCACAATCCATCCCGTTGCGCAAGACTAAAGATGCTGCGCAAGGCTAAAGAAGAAGCCAAGGCAGCGAGCGGGATGGATCGCGCTTGCTGCCTTGTCTTCTTCTTTAGCTGCACTGGAGAGGTTTAGCTCCTGGCTGGAGAGGTTGTGCAGCTATGGACCCCGCGCGCTGTCTTGGCTTCTTTGCTCTTTGGGGCTGGGGGGGGGAACCCGGGCTTCCCCCGCAGCCCCGAGAAGGTCTGGGAGAAGTGGACAGGCTGCGTGCAGCCTGTTCGTTGCTCTTTGGGGCTGGGGGGGGGAATAATATTTTTTTCCTTGATTTCCCCCTCTAAAAACTAGGTGCGTCCTGTGGTCCGGTGCGTCCAATAGAGCGAAAAATACGGTTAGTTCATGGATGAGAAAAAGACCATGCTAGCTACAGCGCCAAGTACTTTTTCCAAATGCTTTGCTTCTTCACTTTATACATGCTTTTTATGTGTTCTTTATTTTCACCTAGCCCATTCTTTTGGGATACTTCAGAATTCTCCCTTGTCTTCAAGAAGTGAAAGCATTATGTGTACCATCACATCTCTCCTGGTCTTTTCCCTCACCTTGAACATAAGCATACTCCTCTACCATCTCTGGCTAATCACTGTCCCCTGTCCTGGACATGCTTAGTACAGTAATCCTTTAGAAGGGTTTTGAAGAACTATTTGTTTCAGATGACCTATTGTTAAGAACCTAAAAACATAAGAAGATTCCTGCTGGATGAGACCAAAGACCCATCCATTCTGCGTCTGTTCTTTCCGTGGCCAATGAGAAGTCCACAAGCAGGACCCAAGTACAAAAGCACTCACCCCATGTGTGCTGCCCAACAAACAGTATTCAGAGGTATATGGCCACTAATGCTATTTTTCTATAGCTGTCCTGCTCTTTGTAATGGACAGATTTGTGAAAATTGTGTTCTGCATTATAGGGTGGCTAGGTGTTTTATTCTCACTGGTTCATTTAACGTTGGGAGTGTTCTGTAGTACAGTCATACCTCGGGTTAGAGACGCTTCAGGTTGCGCATTTTCGGGTTACGGACGCGCCAAAACCAGGAAGTACCGGAACAGGTTACTTCCAGGTTTCAGCGTTTGCGCATGCGCAGAATCGCTAAATCGCACTTTGCACATGTGCAGAAGCGGCGAGTCGCAACCCGCGTGTGCGCAGACGCGGCGCTGTGCTGCGAGTTGCGAATGTGCCTCTCGCACGGATCACATTTGCAACCCAAGCATCCACTGTATTGCATTTTTACATTTTGTACTGCTGCTCATGTATTTCTGAACTGTTACCATGTAAGCCGCCTGGGGAGAGTTAACTCAGAAAGGAGCCCTATAAAATACAGAGTATATATATTAGCTATGTTTTAATCCAGGGAAACACTTGCATCACTTAAAAGCCTTTTCCTGAGAACCCAATGAGCATCTGTTATACTATTATTTGAAAACTCCTGCCAGGATACATTAATGACCCTTAAGTTAAAAAAAAATTGCTTCTTCCCAGAATATGAACCTCATTTGCTGATATCCTCCTCCCTACAATATACTCCATAAAATATTCCTAATAGAAATTCCCTTGGGTTGGGAAGACCTCATTTCCAGTTAGTCCATTTAATCAATCCCTTCTCTGCTGGCATGAATACACAGCTTCATACCCATTGCTTCAGTTCTTTTCTCCAATCGCCATCATTTTTCATTTTTTTCCATATTGCTTCTATGCTCCTACAAGACTTCCTGCTAATAAGTGCTGTGCTAAAGGAAATTGGGGGGTGCTGTGTGGCAAAGCCGCAGAATAAGCTTGAGGTGATTGCGGTTCTGTGCAGGCTGCCTACATACCATGCATTTAAAGCACACACACACACACCAAAAAAGAATCACTGGAACTGTAATTTGTTAAGGGAATTTTCCTGGGAATTGTAGCTTTTTGAAGGGTAAGCTCCAGTTCCCAGGAATCTTAGAAGGGGTGCTTTAAATGTATGTTGTGTACACAGCCCACACAACTTGCATGTTTGGGGAAAGAGTGCATCACTTAGCAGCAGAATTTTCAAACTCTGCCCCCGTTTACCAGTTCTGTTGAACATTTTAAGCATCTGGTAATTTAGGTATCAGGAACCGCACAAGAGATCCTGGTTTACAGAGCAGTCCAGAAAATAACTGCTTACTCTTCTTTGTCAAGCAGGACAGGTGGCTTGCTGCTGACTTCCAAATGCCTTCTGTTTGGCTGTAATCTTCCTTTCCTGCTAATCCTTCTGTCTGAGCACCTAGAATTGTTGGGCCCACTGGGCTTTCAGACCACCTGCTCTGTACTTAAACCTGTATCTATGCTGCCTCTCCTTTTATTTTTATTTTTTTATTTTTTTGTACCTTATTCAAATTGTTTCTGGCACTTCCCATATCAGCCTGCCCATGCCACGCTTTCCTTCACGTTCCACTGCTAGAACCCTTTTCACAGTTCAAATTCCCAATTTGTTGCATTCCATCCTTCAACAGGTATATTAAGCATCAATACTGCTGTCATTTCTGTGCCAAGTAAAGATGTACCTGTCCACCTAGGCTTTTTAGGTTTTTGAACAGGTGACTTTTTTAAACCTTCACTGTGTTTAGCTGGTTGTTTTAGCTGCTTTTGTTTGTTGACCTTTTTATGAATAGGTTTACTGTTTTGATTGATTTGGTGGTTAACAAATAATTTTATGTTGTACCCCGCCCTGGTTAAGTATTGATGTGTGTCTGTGTCCTATAAATCTTTTAAATAAATTAATGTGTTTATAGCCTTTCCTTTACGATCTCTTGGGTTTTCACCCTTGAAGAGACTTATAAAAACCTTCACTCACAATTTCTCCTCCCTCTGCCTTCCTTCATGCTCTTTCCTGATTTTTGCAATCATCATTATAAATACTCCACTATTGGAACTGTTATTTGGTTTTCTGCCTTTCAACATGTCCCAAATAGAACTAAATTTGGATTGCTGGCCCATTCTCCAGCAATGATTTGCACAGTACGCCTTACTTCCATTCTTCTTTGAGTGCTGTCACCCTCTGCTGTCAATCAACAGTGCTGATTGTATTTCTATTCTGCATCTTGTTGTACATTATTTATACACTAGCCATTGATATACTGTGGCCACTCTTGTTTCCTTCTGTTCCCTGCTGTTCTACTCTGAACAACCATTCATTTACCATTGAGCCACAGAACAACATGTATGTTAAATAGACCTACTCAGAGCCGATGCAATGTATGTGCCTCTCAGCTCCAATGTTACGAGCAGAGAGGAAAGCTCTGTGTATCTTGCCAGAAAGCCTATTCCACACATTTTCTGTGAGACCCAGTGCTGCAGAACAGCTCATTGCATAGCAGTTGCTGTAGCCGGTGATCAACATTCCATCTATTCTTTGAGAGAGATTTTCTCACATCTTCCTATCTTGGCACTGTTTCTCTCCACGCGGCCTCTCCCTTCAAAGGAATCTTTAACAGGTTCCTTCTGAACTTCAAAACCAATTGAAGGGCACCTAGCTTGTCCCCTTTGTTCTTAGCTTTGAAGACCCCTTTGCTTGCTTCTTTGCAGCATGATTTACATTCCAAAACACACACAAAAAGAGGATTTCTCTCCTTGTTTCCTTCTCTTTCCCCATTTGTCAACTAAAAATATCTAATCAGTGGCAGCAGACTAGGGAAGGGGAAGGGCAAAGAAGACTAGGAATTGTTTGTGTTAAAGAAATTGTTTGCATTAATCTCTACAGTCAAATATGGATGACATTGGGCAAAGCGCCAGGGGTGAAAATGTTCTTTGAAAAAGCATGGAAATGGCCAGCAATTCAACAAGGAGAGCGATCTAGGTAGTGATCTGTAGGCAAGGGAGCACAACTGATCTTTGGGTGCTTTGAAAGGCCCACTGAAGAAAACAGTTGTATAATTTGATCCTTAGTTAGAACAAAGCGGAAAATCTATCTGTTTCATCTCCCCAGAAAAAAATAATTTGGATCCTATTTATTCCAACTAAAATCCAATGTTTCTACAAAACTAAGCTAATTGCTCTTTCTATAGAAATTATAGGGACGTGGGTGGGTGGCGCTGTGGGTTAAACCACAGAGCCTAGGACTTGCCAGTCAGAAGGTCAGCGGTTCGAATCCCTGCAATGGGGTGAGCTCCCGTTGCTCGGTCCCTGCTTCTGCCAACCTAGAGTTCAAAAGCACGTCAAAGTGCAAGTAGATAAATAGCTACCACTCTGGCAGGAAGGTAAATGACGTTTCTGTGCACTGCTCTGGTTCACCAGAAGCGGCTTAGTCATGCTGGCCACATGACCCAGAAGCTGTACGCCGGCTCTCTCGGCCAATAAAGCGAGATGAGCGCCGCAACCCCAGGGTTGTCCGCAACTGGACCTAATGGCCAGGGGTCCCTTTACCACATCAGCCAGTAATTGTTGGTGTTGGTATCCATTTGTCTCAGGAGACAATAGAGGAGTGCACCTTTGTGGGTGAAGTCAAACTGCTGGAAGGTTGCACTGCCTGCTGTGGCTGTAGAGACATATTTTGTGGCAGCTGGGGCAGATGAATTAGGGTAAACACTTTTTATTGAGGAAGGCTGTGCAATTGGGGTAGCAAGAAGTGATAAGCAGAAAATCAACATATGTCACTTTCCATGGCATATCATGGGGACAACACCATGCGAGGAATTCAGATATGAGCATTCCACCAGTGCAAGCATTTCTGCTCTCCGATGGAACCATCTCCCTGCTTCTACCCCTGTGTGCTGTTCTGGGGTATACTCTCAACTCTCCAGAATGGATTTATAAGAAGTGCGGGCAGGGGGCAGGAGAGGGAGGAAACCCCACTGTATTAGGAGGAGTCCTTTTGCTGGCTTCCACTAGAACACCAGGTTAGTTTTACTCAGTACCTTCTGCTTAACTTCTGCCTATTGTGCAGCTGTTAAAAGGAACACAACCTCCATCAAGGGGGTGGGCTGCAGTGTCCCACTTCTGAGATATCTGGGCCACTTTGGAATCCGAAGCAACAAAGGTTTAAAGTGCTCCAAACCAAAATGGGATTTCAGTACAAATTTCTAAACTGAGGCGACTTGCTTTCCAAAGCAGTGCAGCAGGTTACAAACCATTTTTTGGAAGAAGAAAAAAGGCATAGCCCTAGTAGCAATCCTACCAGGAACTGAAATCTTCTTGTTTATTCGGACAAATTTCCTGTAATATGACAATATGGAATTTTGATGACTTCACAGTCAAGGGTATTCCTACTAAATGTATTCCAGTCAGTGAAAAGCTGTCTGCTTGTGAGGAGAAAAGCAAAGATGAACAGGAGATTGCAGAGAAAACTGGTGATTTATTTGCATCAGTTTTCATACAGAAATATCTACCCTGGGGCTACTCTTGATTGTGAGAGTTCTCGGGGAGTGAATGAAATAAAGCAGTGCTGGATCAACATGATAAATTAAAGTGTCATCAATCATCTGAAAAGGACAGTATTCAGCTGCAAGCTGTGACTATGGGAGTTGACAAATGTATAATAGATCACAAGGGAAGGATGCTACATTGGAACACTTTAAGGACAAATGACTACGATTTCTAAAGATGCTTCAGGTGATTTCAAAAGTCAGAATCTAGCAAAGCTATAAATGTTAGTGGGAAAAGCATTGACAAAAAGAGAAGGAAAATACATTGATAATGTCTGGGAAATTAATTAACTTTAATGGAAACGGGCAATAAATTCAGGAGGTCCTCCTGTCGCCTTTCCCCAGTGTTAAAATTAAGCTATATAGGAATTGTCGGTGCAGATGTCCATGCCAAAGTGTGGATATCTGAGTGCAGGACCAACAGTGCACCCAATTCCTCAGAGCAGGACCAGCAGTAGGACCTTATTCCATAGTAACCATATGCTCTCGGGTTTTTTAAAAATAAAATAAAGGAGGTTACTGTATTTCAGTACCACTGTGAAGTGAGGATTCTTGTACTGTACATTGTGGTTTACTAGTTTAGAAACAGTTCATTAGTGATGTTGTTGTTGTTGTTTAGTCGTTTA